CTTCTGGAAAGGTCAAGAGATAAGCAAAAGTGATGACATAGAAGCTAATGCAATGGAGATGTGCTGGTGAAGTGCAAGGTTAACCCTGAAACGAACAGAATGAATAATGACGATTTTTATGCGGAGATTTTGCTGCCAACTTACTCCGCATATTTTACCCTTCAGAACCAACCATCGGCGAGAAAATACATCAGGAGTTCAGGATCCTCGGTTTGAACCTATAATTCTGCAAGGTCGTCTTCGCCTATGAGTTTTTAATTTGTGGTGAACCTTTTACTCTGTTAGCGTAGTATCCCAAATTCAAATAGAAAATAAAATACCAAATCAATTTAGTCGCGGGAAGAATATATTAAAGTTCCGTTACTTGGGTTTACAAAGATCCAAAATCCACAATAAACGTAATAGACTCCAGAGGTGCTGCGGGAAGACTGCTCCAGTACCAATTCTCCAATGTTGACGTTGCCGGAGGTCGACCAAAGTACGTAGGAAGAAACTACAGTGCTCCTGCAAAAATTTGAGATAGAAAGCAGGTGATTAGAATTGATCGACGGCAGTTGAGATGGTGGAGAAGACGGAGAGTCGGAGGCAGAACTATGTATTTATTCAAAACCGGAGGTAAAGTTCAAAGTACAGAGTTTTTGGTTAAAACAAAGTAACGTACAATATGTTCATTTCTTACATAGTAGTGTGCGTCGGTAGCACAGTGGTTAGGACTCTCGCCGACCATGCACATGGTCCGGGTTCGAGCCCACGCCGACGCACACCTGATATCTATGGTCGGCCTGCGAAATTTGGGCTACCGATATCCATGCTGAAAATTCCATACTTGTACCGAAAATACAGTGTGGAATCAAGCTGTAAATCTAAAAAAAAATGGATAAGTTTATTTTTGGGGACTCCACAAATGACGAGCTGAGGAAGTTATACCAATACTTACAATGAACTCATTAAAAATGAGGTCGAACCTACGCCGTAATGGAAATCGAGGGCAGAATATCTGCCATCTCTAATAATCTATTAAATGTAAACTAAAAAATAAATGATCTCTGCATCTCGATAACTCAACAGTCACTTATTGTGGAATCTATTTGCATATTCAGGAGAATTCGTAGACCTAAATTGTCTGTGTATGCTATTTAAACATGTATTGGCACTTTGTTGATAATTTCAACGACACATTTCGGACAGCACTTTTAAGCGACTAGTTTATCTGTACTTGTATTCATGACAGATAGCGGTGGATTCAAAGCCGCGGCGAAATTTAACTGGTAATCGTTATTTAGTCCTTGAGAGTATTTTTTATTCATCTAAAATGAAATGCAAAAGAAACAGGATTTAATTTGTAAGAGTTAACTGCAAAAGTTCATACCCTGACAAGGAGGAATATCATCAAAGGGATATATAATACGTGTACTGAAAGTTCTCAACTGCTACTTGTTTGTAAAATGTTTCTTAATACTATGCTGTAGAATTAATTAAAGCAAAGGAACTAGGAATGATTAGGGAAAATGTTTTCGGATTAATAGGCTTTCTTTAGTTTCGTTTCTCTTTTGCTATTGGCAATAAGTCATAACTACATATAGGCGTGTTTCCTACTCATATTAATCCATGGTTTTAATACATTTCAAAGCCTCAAAGAGTAATTGTGTGTTTAGTTTGATAAACGATCACGGAATTTACTTTGCGGTCGGGAATGGAGTACTTTAGTAACGAGCATCAAAGAAAAGTGGAAAACATTTGTTTTCGAATGGTACTCCAAGGTAATTTAGCTATCATGATTGGTCTTAAGTCCCACATACTCTACTGATTTTATAAGAGGTGTAAGCGTAATTAGGTGCTCCCTCGATTCCGCTGGGAGAAAAAAAGCCCTAGCTAATTTAGTTTGTTTGGAACATTTTTATCCATTCAGTTTACTTCCTAGGGATACTTTTAACTCACTCTACGTCTTTTTATAAAGCGACGGAAAAGTTCCATTTAGATGCTTTCTTGTCCATTCCGCAATGGAAATGAGAAGCGTCAGACCAAAATCTGGCCGAACAATTCCGTGAGCGTTAAGGATGAGAGGTATAAACCTATGCAAACTCTAAGAATAATCTTTTATTTGACGGGATTTATCCATATTATATGGTTGGAGGTAATCGGCTTGAAGCCATGGACTTAGGGATGTATCCGTTGTTTTTACGCAAAATGTACCTCAAAAATAAATAAATAACTGCATTTTTGAAATAAGGATATTATAATAAATTTGCAAATTTTATGATAGATTAACTATTAGATATACCTGAATTACATTTGTCTCTTTTAGGCCGTCTTCTAGGAAACGGTTGGCATCACATATCAAATAAATAATATTCTTAGTACTTTGTAGTGATCGCATATTATTTGGTTTGTAGGCAGAATGTTTCGGTATGCTATAGATTAGTGTATTCAAGAGATGTTATTAGGTTATGACCGAAGTTTAGCTAAAGAACAAGTTGACTACAGTGTAAAGTGACACAGTGTTACTGCGGTTTTGAGTGCAGTTTATTTTTTGTAATGAATTTCCTCTAATAAACTTCAGAAGATAATAATTTGTTCACCGTACTACACATAGTAGAGATTCTGTCTAGTTTACAGTACGATCTTGTAGACTGGTGACTATGAAGGAAAAGTCTCCGACAGAAGTATGTCGTCGTTTATTGTCCCTTCGATTTGTTTCGCTAGATTTTACAATGATAAACTAAAGCTAATATATATATATATAATAGTCAAAAGTTAGTTGTTCTTTTCAGTGTTCATTTGCGAATGTAAAACGAAGTGTTAAATTGTTTTTAAAGTGTTACGAATATAGTTTGGTAGCCAAGACACTTTATGATAACTCTTATAAAAGTATGAAGGCTAAAACTAACTCGAGCATAGCTGAAGTCTAGTTCACAGAATCTTTCCAATTTATCTTAAAAACATGATAACTAGCAGTTATACTTAATTTAAAAAGTGTAGTGGCTGAAGTTTCTATTTTGATCTATTAGACAGATATTTTAACTGACGCTTCTGAACAATTTTTGGCTCTCATGAACATTTATAAATAAATTTCTGCTCCTTTTATTTATAGCTTACGTTTATTATCACTGTCTTCCGTGCATAACTATTGGTTCACCAAATTAGAAATTTTATGGCGATAGCTCTTCGTTTTTGTTCAGCGTTTTTCAGGAGCAAAACTACAAAATAATGACATTTAATGAAATATGATATATTGAATATTTATAAGGGGCAATTTAGTCATCAATGCAGTAAGTTTAGTCAGTTACGCCTCCTTAAAATGAGTTGGATAAGAGCCGATGATGCTTAATAATGCCTGACATATTTCACCTTGGGTCTTCATCCGGCTTCTCTGAGATACCCTCGACTTATTGTACGATGGAAGTCTGCTAGAAATTAATTATTTCTTACATTACTTTAGAAATGCTTTAGTGTTCATTCTGGAACATAGTGTTGAAATTTTAATTATATGGGGTTTCAAGATCTATGAAAATCACTTGGAGGCAGTCTGGTGAGTAAAGAACTGGACAGCGTACCAAAGCCTTATAAATTCTTTCCCTTATATTAAGCGTTTTCCCTCGGTTTCCGCAAAATTAAACAAGACTTTTGTTTTACTGCTTGCAGAGGTTGGCTGTTGGATACATTAACCCAGTAAATTAATCTTATAAGCTTTTTTTCGTTCATATCACCTAAACAGTAATTTGTCTCGATACACATTGCGTTCAAACTTGTCTTAGTTAAAAACCATCCTGCATATTAAGCATCTGTTTTCTAATCCTACGTAATTTCGTTTCTGTGCCCATTGTGATCGACGATGACACCTTAAAGTTTTCATATCAGTTAAAAATTAATATCATCTTTAACATCCATTTGTCATTATTTTGAATTAAATAATAATTGTAACTATACAAACTTATGTATAAAGATGCGATCTTACAGCTTTTGGAGATGAAATCACCAAAAACATATCTTTGCTAGGCTTCCTATTTTCTTCAGAATGCCTCAGTGGCTAAGCTATGGTTAAACTAGCGACGATCTTACTGTGTATGAAGGTGTTTCTGATATTTGCAGTTAGTTTTAAATCTGTTCCTGAGGGGGACTGTGTAATGATAAAACATGCAGACGCATTACGATCTATAAAGTTTTATTATTTATGGTTATCCCCTCTGTTAGCTGAGATGGAGATAGGTTGGAAAAAAGTCAGAGATTTTTTGAACCAAAATATAACATCAGTCCATCATATCCGTGACTTTTAGCTGGAGTTACGTAGAGATGTGTAATTTGCTTGTCTGAGGTCCTCGAGATCCTAATAATCAACGGCTTGAGACGGTTAGTGACACAACCCAGAACTGTTCTCAGTGGCGTAGGTGCATTTACATTTCATGAACTTCCAGATCCATATTAGCTTCATCAATCTCCTAGTAATCACGCTTTTTTCCGTATATTTCCCTTTATTGTAGTTCTTCTAAGCTTTTTTTCCACCTTTGTGTGATATGCGAGGTGTAAAAACTTGAATTTCTGCACTGCTGTGCAAACGTCTACATTAAAAACTTAGTCAACCAAATGTCCCTGAAGATTTTCCTATATTTCATAGCTTTTTTAAATGATTGAGTATTACCTGACCATAAAATTTACTTGATTTGACTGTCAGAAAATAATTACTTTGACATAACTTTATCTCAATAAGTAATTAACGCTGAATATATATTATTCTTTGCTTTCCAGATTTACAAATTCGCTTTAGCGGAGATAAATGTATCAATTACTAAACAACACAAAATGAATGTGATATGTTGTGACTGTCTTACTAAATGTTAAATTACTCCTTTCTTGGATTTATTTTCAAAGAAATAATAAGGATATTGTAAACTTTTACTGTGACAAGGAGTATAAAACTTGAAGATTATAATTTATATATATATGCTTCAAATCAAGTGTTATACTTACTATACTCATGATTGATTTAATGAAACTTTATCATAATGGATAGCTTTACATCGGAGACTGAGGCAGACTTAATTCCATCCAGTGGATCAGCTTCGGAGGAAGATGACAAACAACCATCCAGTTATAAGTAAGTAAATTACTATTATTTTTGAATTGGAATATACGAAAGATATGACTACGTTTAATGATAGAAAGTTTCTCATGTGTTTGGGAACCGTCAAATGAGAAGTTGAGTGAGAAGTCTCAGGTATGGTAAGAAAGTCAGTAGTGACCGAATATGAGATAAAGTTCCATTACTGTGAAACTAAATAATTTACGAAATGAAATCGAAAAACTCAAACAGAAACTCAAATGTATGGTCAATGACAAAGATTATGCAATCGTTGTTGAAACATCCGAAAAAGCTAGAGAATCAGCCTTAAGAAAATCAAAAATTACACAAATCAAAAAATTCAACAAACTAATTGAAGAAAAGAACACAAAAATGAAATTGATGTCAACACTTCATCCTTTATCGACAGAACAAAGTGGGTGATCAACCTCTCATCAAGGGAACTAAGCTCTAGTGAGATAAAGTACTTGAGAAAGGACTAAATTTCAACGTAACAGTTAATAAATTAAAACCAGAGGATGTCATTCCTAACATAGAAGTAGCACTAAGCTCAATAGATAAGACGACAGCAGAAGAGGTTAGAGCACAATGTGCATTAACCCTGAAAAATCAAAAGAAAACAAAACCGAACTTAACAAAATCAGAAAGGGAAGCTTTAATTAGTTTAAAACAGGATAAAAATATTGTCATTGCAAAAGCTGACAAAGGAAACGCCACCGTAATTCTGGATAAACCTGACTATATCAAAAAAATTACTGAACATATTCAAACGGGTCCATATGAGGAAATTAAGAAGCCTGTAGACAAAATAATGAATAAGGTTAAGAAATCCACAGCAGAACTTATACGCAGAATGAAGCCGTCACTGGGTGAGTCAAAATGGTTTAATTTAATGCCCAAAACTAATAATGCTAGTAGAATATATGGTACTATTAAAATACATAAGCCAGGTTACCCCATACGACCAATAGTAGATTTTAGAAATACCCCTACATATGAATTATCAAAACACTTAGCTCTAATATTATGCCCCATTAGAAATCGTTCAAATTCTAGACTAACTAATTCATATGAGATGAAAAATAAACTAAACGACATTCAACTGCAGAATGATGAAAAAATGGTTAGTTTTGATATAACCAGTCTTTACACTAATATACCAGTCATTATGGCCTTAGAAGCAGTTAAAAAAGAACTAACTGCGGATCCTGAACTGAATCATAGGACAAAGCTGCCCATTGAAGAAATTATGTTAGGGATTCAGTTATGTCTCACATCTACCATCTTTAAGTTCCAAGGCAAAATATATAGACAAACAGAAGGTGTAGCAATGGGATCACCAATATCCCCTGTTGTAGCAGACATATTTATGGACAGCTGGGAAAGTAGTGCTCTTAATACATTTAATCCTGCTCCAAAAATATGGTGGAGATATGTGGATGACACTTTCACAGTGTTAAAAACAGAACATATCTCTCTCTAGCTTCCTGACACATATAAACTCACAAGTAGAGGGAATAAAATTCACATTTGAATCGGAAGATGAACAGGAAGAATTAGAAATGATGTTAGATTGTAAAATAAAACGAATAGAAGAAGGTAAACTACACACTAGTGTGTACAGAAAACCAACTCATTCTAATAGATACTTAGACTTTAATTCATCTCATCCGTTGACTGTTAAGGCAGGCTTAGTTAAGTGTTTAACAAACCGAGCAGTAGCACTAAGTAGCACAAGAAAAGACCTAAATGATGAACTAAAACAGATAGAAGAGGCTTTGGTGTTAAATAACTATCCTTTAAAATTCATTAGGAAGATCAAAAAAGGCCAAATGAAAAATAAAAATAATTGTGAAACTAGTAATAATAACATAAATAAGAGAGAATATAAGTCGTCTACAGTTTTACCATATAAAGAGGGGACATCTGAAACCCTACGTAGGATTCTAAATAAAGCAGGAATTAGGGTGGCATTTAAACCTACAAACTCACTCAGGGACAAGCTGTGTAGGTTAAAGGACCCAGTTGAACCAATTAGACAAAATAATATAATTTACAAAATACCCTGCAATGACCGTGAGGTCAACTACATAGGTCAAACTAGTAGGTCAGGGGTAGTCAGATTGTCAGAACATAAGAATTTAGCTAAGGTAAGAATGGTTGACCCTGAAAAGATAAGTAATTTAGAAAAAAGCTCAGCAATTGCAATGCATGCATTAACACAACCACACAATAGGGTGGGAGAGGGTTAAAATTCTAAAAAGTAATCTAGGTAGGTGGAGAGAGAGGTTGATTACTGAATCCTTGTTTATCGAGTCTACACCAAACACATGCAATAGGAATGACTCGTCACTCATACCTGAAATATGGAAAATACTACTACCAATCAAATCAAGTGAAAATCAAGTGAAAAATAATGGAACTATATAAATGAAGTTAGGAAGTCGTGTGAGTACCTTGATATGATTATGAGCAATAAATTGTGCTCGAAACGTCATCAGTAAACATTACTGTATAACACTGTGAGACTTTATCAAAACAAAATTTACCCATAATGGAATTATACTCTACCACAGTGCACAAGTTTTATTCTTATATCAATGAGATGAAGTTGTCTCGAATTTTGAGGGGAAGTCACGACCAGAGGAGTCCACCAAGTTGAACGTGATGACAAATACTCGTGCATAACATTGGATGACGGTTGCATCATTTATCGCGAATCGTCAGAAATTGAAATTCACAGGCCGTTGGATTTCGTAGTTTGGAGGTCCTGGGTTCGATAGATGGGGGTAGAATCACCTGTGCGCACTGTTGAAAAGTTTCAGGGAAAGACGACAATTATCCAGTACTCACTAGTTTTCAGTGTTTCCGTAAATGAAATCAGTTCATTATAAATCTTGAAAGATACTTAAAAGTATTTGTTATGGTTAAGGACAAGAAATTTCTTATGTCTTGTTGAGCAGTTTACACATTGAACGTGAAGGCTAGGATATGATAGAAAATCTATTCACAAAAGTCTTAAACTTCTTTCTGGTTAGTCGTTAAGGTATCCGTACCAGTCGGTCAACACAGTATACTTTGTTAATGGAAGTAAGACTGAATTAGAAGAAAGCTAACACAAATCAAACCAAAACACATCACTAGTCTGTGAAGCTATAAATTGTTGTTCTAAGCCATGCAGTAAAATGTGGAGCTGGGGTTCATTGTTTGAAGCGTTGTACTTTCAACTAGCAGGTGCCAGATTCTCATCCATCTTTTTCTACTTCAGCCTGTGCTACTTGTTACTATCATTATCCGTTACACAGCAAGATTGGTCCGTAGCCTGGTAAATAGAAAAACTCTTTCGTGCGTAGCTCAGCTTATACATGTATTCTAAATCTACGGGAAAAAATTTTAAAATGACGTATTAAACCATATATCAATCAGGTAAGTAAGCAGGAAACTTTGCATTCAAGTTTCACGCTCGTGAGCACTCGTCAGCAAAGCGTACTTGCAACCTCGAACGAAGTGATTTCCCCTATGAGATTTGAACCCGCATCACACGATGAGTGGTACAATCAGAGACTTTACCACTGAGATAGTTGGACTTACAACTGACCTCCTTTAGAAATAATTAGTGGAATCTAAGTTTCATCATGGATCGATATAATTTAGAAAAACGTTGAAAACTAGGAAGTACTAAACAGATACTGCGTCATAGCTTTGAGCTCGTTAACAGCACACATTCATAACCACACTGCCAGTGTTTTAACCCAAGACCTTCAGGCTATGAGGCAAGTTCTCAAACTATGCAGACACCGGGACGAAATATAATGGCTCATAAATCCTAACTTCTGTCAATTCGCTATTTTTTGCACCGCCATAAGCCAATGTCGTCAATGAGTGTTTGTCCTTATGGACTCCACTGATCATAACCTCTCACTAGAACTGCAGACAACTTTGTTTCGCAGCAATTGTTTCTAGCTGATATCAATCTGTGATCAAACATAAATCCAGTCAAATCTCTATAAACCAAACACTTGAAAATTAATAGAATTTATTTAGCACCAATTTCAAAGACTAGACATATGGTACTACTCACTCTCTTATGGTTATAATCCTAATTTATTGATGAATAATAATACGTCTATTGAACGTTCCCAGGATCTGTTAGCCATCTGTTAACCTTTCCTTGTTTGGAAATGATATTACGAAATGCGTTGTATCCGTCTATTACTTTTTCTTAAAATTTCGAATTTTAAGGTCGTAACAGTCTCTTGTATAGACAGCAAAAGAGAACATGTCATAATGTTTTCTGTGCAGAAATAGGTTTTTCATTCAGAACAAGTGTGAACACCTGTTATCTACTTATATTTCTATACAGAAAAATGAATATAGATTTTCATCAGTGGTTAATTAAGCAAAATGATGCGTACACATGTGTTAATTAGTTGTATTTCCAGTGAGAATTCTGTTTCTTCTAATTGATAACTATTAAGAGAATTTCGTTGGTAAAACGCAGTAACTGAGAGCAGTTGATTACCTTTTTATTGGACCTAAATTCTCAATCTCTTTTGACATGTCATCACCTAGTACGGACACTTCGACGATATATAGATGTTGGCTATCAGTGTATTTCGTCCTGTTTGAGACCCGTCATTCAGATGTATTTGTATATCCAGTGTTCCCCTCGAAACTCGAACGGGGTACTCATTGTTTTAAACGACACAATAGGTGATTCTCGGCCTAGTGGACAACACTTTATCACCATCAATGGTTAAGTTTATAGAGTACTGGAGAACTGCTCTTTATGATGAAAAGGAAACATTGTTTAGAGGTATTCTGAAATGACAAATATATGATTACTGGTGTAGTAGTAAAGCGTATTTATATAAACACATCACTAATTATTGTTGTTGTTCCCTTGGATTTTTAGTAGAACATAGGACTTCACCAGTACATCGGCATTTCACTCTTTTCTTTGAAGTCCTTTTCAGCTAACCCCATGATTATTCATAACATTTCATTTCCTCCTCGCATAATCTCCTCCATGTCACGTTAAGATGACTAACTTGTCGTTTTCTATTCGGGTTCCACTTGAGAGCCTGGCACACAGTAACACTCGACAGTCTACTCAGCGTGTGTCCGACCCATCTCAATTTCCTTTTGTGTATTGTTGGGCAACAGGTTCTTGGTTAATTCGTTCAATATAAAGCTAGCGAAGGCATCTATTGATGAAAATCTGAACTATCTGTAGCACTGATTTGACTTGTGTTGAAAATTAGCATCTTGTTTCTTATGCTGAGTGCTGTTGATCTCTATACGGATTTCACAGTAATGGGATTCTGTCTTACTTTGCGACCCTGACTGGCTTCGACACCCTCATTCGTCCCTCCATTATTTAAATGACGCTGCTTAGGTAAGTGAAAGAGACGATTTCCTTTAGATTTCTTCTGTTGGTGGTGACTGATGCTTGTTATTGTTGGTTGGGTGTCTTCATCACCTCCGTCTTCTCTGTATTCACCTGAATTCCTGTCTTCACTGTCTCTCCTGCAAACTTGTTGGTTTTCACGTGTAGATCTTCGAATTTGTCTGACGTGAAATATTAATCATCCACGAAGTCTAGATATCCTGGCTTTAGTTATGCCACTAAGGTATCACGAATAGTGTTACTTGGTTATATTTTTGTATTATTTATAATCATTATTTCAGGGACTTTTCTTCCTTTCATCAAATTTAGAAGTACATCGACACCAAAAGGTTGGTATCAAGGTCATTCATTTGTGAAAAAGAATCTCCATAAGCCTGCGACATGTCATCATTGTTCAGATCTATTATGGGGAATATTAGGAACAACTGGAATGGTTTGTGAAGGTTAGTTCATTGTGGATATTTTTTATATTTTTTTACGTAGTTTTTTCTGTCTGTTGATATTATTTCTGCTTGTTAATATTGAATCACAATAAATAAATAATAGTAATGGTAATGATGATGATATATTTGTCCATTAACAAGACCGAGTGAAAACAGGAATCATTCACGTATGACATAAAGGAAACACAAATATATGCGAATTGTACCTAGTTAACAATCAATAATAATGTATATTCTAGAATTTAATGATATATAAAAATAGGATAGTTGACTTGGTACACTGGAAGACGATCGAGAATAATTGATTATTCAATCAAGATCATTTTTTTCTTTTTCCCCAGAGGGTTCTCTTATCCTCATTCTTTTACATACTTCTTCGATTTCCAGTACCTAAAAGTAGTGAAGATATATTTCAGGAAAACAAAATATATAAAAGGTTACTGTCGAGTAATAAGGTAAAATTGTTAACTCAGTGATTACGTAATAATCTGTTAGTTGACGATAACAATGCATAGTGGTTTGATAACTAACAAGGTGAAAATCACTTTCATATATGCAGTAAGATAATTGAATGTCGACTTGACAGATCTAAAGTATTAATTAATGTATGGAGATTTAACTAATTTCAAGTTTGATTACGCAATGACGTCAGTTCGATAAACAGAGCTGTTCAGTACTCCTCGATTTTCAGTGATTCTTCAACTAAAGTCATTTTGTGATAACATGAAACGTGAAATCATTCAAATCCCTGCAAACCAAAACTTGAAGAGTCATCTGTTTCACACAAGCTACTAACCATAGGATGAAGTTGTCTGAGAATTCGTGACCAGCAGGGCCCACTAATTTGGGTGTCAGGACAAATACTCGTCTGGTGGCATTGGCTGGCGGTGGCGCTACATATATACTGCCAATTGACAGAGGTTAATATCCATCGGCCATTGGGTTTGGTCCCAGTGGCTGGATGGTGTACGAACTCGCCTTGTGATCTGAAGGTCTTGGGGTTGAACACCAGTGAATTCGTGCTGATGAAGAGTCCTAAACGGTGACGAAACATCTGTTCAGTACTCCTTGGTGGTTTTCAATGACCCTCTAACTGAAATCAGTTTGTGATCAAACTTGAGATCTAGAGTAAGTGAAAAGGGGGACAAGAACAGTGATTACACAACATGAAATCGCCAGTAAATCAATGATATAAAGAAATATGAAATTAAAATTTCGTTTTTGATTATTCAGTTTGGATTTAAAATTTAAAACTTTGAAGTAGAGATTTTAATAGAACTAAACGAAAAATGTGGTTCGTTAATGAATCATTGGGAGAATGCTCACCAGCGACGCCTCACATGGCCCAGATTCGATTGCTAGTGGACGCACCAGTAAGCCTTGCTTATTTGGTGGTTAAATCCTTTAAAGAGGGAAGTTCAGGCATGAGGCTAGCTATTTCACCCCGTAAAACGAATACCATCACTAGTGAAGATTCAGAGCGTAAGCTTAAAGCCATATGTTTCACTCAAAATGCAAAGGAAAAAAGAAACCGAAAAGTTTTAATCTACATACTCTTCAATAAATTGAAATCCTGCCTAACTTTAAATGCCTTTTTAATATTTTGTTCAGTGAAGCATGTGCTCTTTTTGTGACGTATATTATTAACTTGAACTAGTATGTACACATTTAGATTGTGTGAATATCCAGTTGTCGTTTGTCGACTACTAAAGACGTTATACAGTTCAACAGTAATTAATACCTATTTCTAGGGTATTTAAATAGCCCAAACATTAGGGCTTCAGATAATATATCATTATTTATAAATACCATTTTCTTCCTGCCTAAATATTTTAAAAAGCTACTTTAATGCTGAGTTTTCAAGCGGCTATTCTTGATAAACTAAATTTGTACAGTTCGGTTCTATAGACTTTGTCAAGTGCACCTTTGATAAACTGTATCCTTTGTATTAATTAAAATAGGAGCTTTATTCTGAAAATTATGATTACACACAATGCAGAATTCGCAGTGTAATTTAGTGCAAAATATTTACTCTCCGTATAGAATCTTCAAAAGAAGCATATTGTAAAGTATTGGTTTGTTGGGATTTTGTTCGATTGGTTGGAAGATTTCATCATGAGCTGACATCGATTATAGAACATTTAGAAAACCTGGGAGTAATGGACAACTGTTTCGTCCCAGTTTTACTGCATACCGATGAAGAGTCCCAAACTAGGACGAAACAGCTGTCTAGTACTCACAGGATTTCCAATGGTTCTCTAATCGATGTCATCTCATGATGAAATCCTCCAACCAACCAATCAGCATATTGGTTGACAGTATTATCGTATGATACAATTTCGTTCCATGTGAAATAAATACACAATATTCTATGACAGGTTTTCTTCATTTTCATTTTGAAGCGCACAGTGTTAGGCTGGAATTCAGTTAAAAATTTCTGTAAGTGTTGATATTGCTATCGAAACACATGATTTGAAGATTATAATAACATGAAACATATAGAAGTAGATGCATGATGCTGGATGAAAATTAACATAACCCAGTGATTTAAACAGGCCGTTTATTTATTTAATTTTTATTTTATTTTATTATAGCTTGATTCTACACTTTATTTTGGTACAGGTATGGAATTTTCAACATGTGATATCCGTAGCCTAAATTTAGCAGGCTAAACATTGATATCAGGTGTGCGTCGGCCGGGGATCAAACCCCGAACCATGTGCATAGTCTACAAGAGTCTTAACCGCTGTGTCACCGAAAGAAACGATAACACTTACTCTGACTACTACTACTACTATTGATATCAATCAGCAGTATATATCTATACTACTAAGTATGTGGTAGTTATAAAAAGATGAGTGATACTTGAAATGTGGTTGGTGCCATTTCGACTACAGTTGTAATATGTATTTTTTCATATTTAAAAAAATTTGTAAGGCAATAACTGAGGAATGCTTTTTCTTTTTCCTTCTGTTCTTTTCTCCCAAATAGTGTGTAATTTCTTAGCTCATGAAAAATGTATGCGAGTGGTTGTTACTGCATGTACTTGTATTGCACCATTTTTAACAAAGGTGAGTGAAAATTCTGTGTTACTTCGATTCTTTTTCAATGGCTGATATAATGTCTCATGTGTAATTCTCAGCTTACCTGCAATATTCCAGTTGTATTACTGTTATTATTATTCGCCTGGGTTCCTAGTGAATAATAAGGCTTCAACAGCACATCACCACTTGGTCCTGTTCTCTGCAGTCTTCTTTAGCCGACTCCACAATTACTCATAGGCTGTCATCTCCTCTTCACTCAATCTCCCTGGATTTCACCCTTGGACCCTCGCCCGACTCAACATTTCCCATTCGGATTTCACTCGGGCAATGGCCAGGCGCGTGATGTTACCCGGCGGTCTCCTCAGGGTGTGTCCAATCCATCCATTTCTATTTCCTTCGGTATATTTGTTGAGCGATAGGTTTCTGATTGCTTCATTCCTAGAGTTCCTTGTTTCCGACTCTTTATGACTGACCATCTGATCTTCACTATGGAGCAATTAAAGGCAGCTGTTTATGAAAGTCTGCAGTAGCCTGTTAGAAATGCTTTTAGTGACGCGCTCTCTAGGTTTCCAAATCATGTGAAAGGACTGACTGATCATTGTTGCTGAAAGTCAGAATCTTGCTCTTTATGCTGAGTGCAGAAGATTTCCAAACTGATCTGAGGGTAATGAATGTTCACCTTGTCTTTTGAATTCTGGTTTTGACATCCTCATCTGCACTATCGTCTATAGTTGAAACTATACTGCCTGGATAAGTGAAGGAAGTGACCCCCTTCAAATATATTTGTTTTGATTATGCATATTAGATTGTATGTAGCTAAGGTTTTTTATGGTCGGTATTAGCGTATTAGTTCCGTCTATCTCTACAGCTGTATGACATAGCCACTGATAGTGAAAGATATGAAGAGGCTAATTGTCTTTGACTATAGGTGTTTGTGCTTTACCTCTTGTGTTAAGTGGTAGAATATGGCCACCAATATTGAGCGTTTGTTTAAAATATTAGGTTGCAGGAAAACCCAGTCTATGAGTTTGCGAATCAGGACATATAAAGATGGCTAAGATACGTGTTACTCATGCCTTCCTCAGCTAACAATGTTAGCTGAAATAGGATTGGGATAGAAAAGAGTCTAACGGTGATTAGGTAAAAACACAGCATCGATTTATGATGTCCTTGACCAAGTTAGAAAGGTTAAGACTACCTAATTGGGCTCCTCGAGACGCTGAGAACCAATGACTGGAGACTGCTGACTACATTGTTGGTAATCATTCTCATTGATGCAGATGCATTTACTTTTTGCAGTCTCTTAGATCAATCAACCTGCTTATTATCCTCCAATCGCATCTATTGTAGTTTCTTTGTATTTATTTTTCTCTTTAAGTTTTTTGTGATCTTATGAAGTTTTTCGACTTGAACTGGTGCGCTTTTGTTTAGTTTATTTGTCTAGGATGTACAGAATGATAATTAAATATGCATTCTGATCATAAAGTGACTCCAGTTAGAGTACTATTGAAAATCAAAGTGTACTAGACAGTTATTTAGTCGCAGTTTGGGACTCCTCATCAGTACGCACCAATGATTCTGTCTGGAATCGAATCTAGAACAAATACTCGCCAGTAACGTTTGCCGGTGGGTGAGCTATCGATTGCGAATTGTCAGAAGCTAGAATTTATCGACCACTGGTCAACCAATGACCGAATGATAAGCAAGGTAGCCTTGTTACCTGAAGGTCCTGGGTCCGATCCCCTAGTGGGACTATCGACCCTGAACTAGGAGTAAACAGCTGTTCAGTGCTCCCTGGTTTTCAATTTATGTCAGTTTATTGTCAAACATGAAACCAATCAAATGAGTGAAAGTAACTCACTACCTGCAACTACTCCTACTACAACTATTTCGTTACTTTTTTTCTGTCATTGGGCCTAACTAGCATAATTCCAACTAATCTTTAATACAATCTATCGATCTCTTTTGAAAGCATAGTCTCTTACCATTTACAAGTAAAACACAGTACTATTCAGATAGTGTTTGGAGAAAAAAGCTATTTCGAGACCATTTTTCTTCAATTAACAACTGAAAAAGGGCTGACTTTTATCCTCATTGAAGAATGATACTGAGACATTTTAGGACTGTCTGAAATAAAAATGAATATTGAAAAGCTGTTTCCTCTGCCAATTTAAGACACGACCGGATGTGGAATTGAGTTCTGAATTAATAATAATAATAATAATAATAATAATAATAATAGCAGTTTTATTCTGGACAGTATTAATATAATGTACATAAATTTCAATGGACTTTATTGCATGATATTTTCCCTTCATACAACATCTTCAAGTAAAATATTAACTGTCAGTATATCCTGTGACACAATGCTCTCTGAGCTGAAACACAAACCATTCCATCATGATATTTCTGCTTTGTCACCTTCAAGGAGTCCACGACATCTAGTTGAAAGCCAATTGCATGACGTTCAGAAGTACAATTTAAGACCCAAGTTTATTTGGAACTTGCGAATCAGAAGCTTGTAAACATTTTAAATACATACAAGAGTAGATAACATCATAAGAGGTCATATCTTAATCGACTAAAATAAAGCGATTGAGAGAAAATATATGCAATAGGGAGATGGAAGTTTTCAGTAGTCCAAGTTTTAAGCAGGCCGCCTCACCATCACTGTTAGCTATGAAGATGAGATAAACACTGTCTAATGCTTCATAATTTTGTGAAATGCCTACTAGTGGTTAATGTGAGTGATATCCAACTACTCATATCAATCAATCATTCTGTACTATATTTCATGCATTTGTGGTTACTTCCTTGATTACCAAGCCTAATTGTCTAATTATTCTATAAGTAGTCAGTGTTTGTAACTCCTAATCAGTTAAATCATTCCGGACTAATGTTACTTTTAATTCCTACCAATTACTCCTTATGATCGTGGAAAAGTATGCTCATATCTTTAATGTAATTCACATTTTTTAACGTTCAGGTTGTAACCAGTTGAGAAGAATCCTCGAAATAATAAAAGATGAGCTCGTATTATCCTGGTACAATTGTTGTCCTTGCTTTGTTAAAGTTTATTAATGGGAAGAATTGCATGAAATAATGGCTGCATTGGAGGATTTTTTGTGGCTCAAGGTTCCAGCAAGTCCCCCAAGATATTTATGGTATCAAATATATGACATACCATTCACATCGACCAGTAATGCTTGCTCGCTAAATCGAAGTGATCCTCTAGAACACACACTACAAATCTGACTGATAGAATTCAGTCTCGCTGTGAGACGTGGCCATTGAGAGTAGAAGACATGAAAAGATTAGCTGTCTTCGATCATATGTGCCTGCGTTTTATCTCCTGTGTGAAGTGGTATAATAAGGTGAGCAGTATTGAGGTTAGGCGTCGAGCGCTAGGTAAGCAGGGGAAATCAATCGACGAGGCCGTGAAGTTCCACCATTGAGATGGTTAGGACATATGTTACGCATCAATGTCTAGTCATCGCCTTCCTCGACGGGCAATGTTAGCTGACATAGGGTCAGACTGGAGAAGAGCTAGCGGAGGTCAAACAAAAACATGGCACCAGTCAATGAAATCCACAACAGTTAGTTTAAGCCACGTAGGAAGGTGTAGACTTCCTGGTTGGGGTCCTCGGGACGGTAAAACCAATGACTGGAAACAATTGGTGATATGGCTCAAAATCGTTCTTAATTGCTGGCGGAGACGCATCCACTCCCTGTGACTTATGATTTCAAATGAAACTATATTGTTCTTCGTTATTACTATTGCTTTGTCTCACACCTCTGTTTACTGTCTCTATTATGCATTTCTCCTACTTTCTTCTCTTGCTTTGTGTGCTAGAAGTGGTGAGTTTTGGCGACTTGAACTGCTGCACATTTGTGCAAAGTTCTATGTTGAAAACAGACAGACAGACTGTGCTAACACCAAGGACTAAATGCATGATATTATTTACTATCTAGTATCCAATCTAAGTATTCATTTCAGTCCTACAGGAGGTCAGTCGAAATTCCTAATCGAAAGGGAATATTCTTTGCTCGATTTTCCTTTTCTTCTTGTCACCTAAATTTAAGAAAAACAGTTTTCCAAGAACAAAAAAATTAAGTGCTGACGCATTTACATTTATTTATTTATTACTCCTGCTTATGTCTTTCTTTTTCTGTAGGATCCAGTTCCTCACTGTTGGTCAGAAATTGGTCATTTCAAAAGGAAATTTTGTAATGTATGTCGGAAACGTGTCGATGATTTATTGGCATTAAAATGTGAAAGTAAGTTTTATCAGCTTAGAAATGTATGTCTATATATCGATATTTTTCAATGTATATATATTGGTGTGTTAGTGCGTCGGTGGTTTAGCGGTTAGGACGCTCACCGACCATGCTCATGGTTCATGTTTCGATCCACGGCTACGGACGCACTTCGTTACCTCGCTGAGTCAGAAATAATGCTGGTAAAGAGGAAAGGTTGGGCATGAGGCTAGCAAACCCATCCTGTAAAATAAACAGTGCTAGAGAAACTTCAAGCCACTAGCTTGAAGCCCTATGTTCCACTGGGGAAAGTGAAGGAAAAAAATACATTGGTGTGTGACGCTAGAGAGTGAAACCAGTCGGTAAAGTCAATGTTTTTAGGACGACAAACAGATTATAAAAGAAAGGGGATTCAGTAAAGAGTTACTCTTTTCTGCAATACCATTCTCGAGCTGTGAAATCGCGAATATATATATATATATATATATATATATATATATAGTAAATTGTCCTAGCAATTAAAGGAATATTTCCAAGGATGTGTCATTAGAATTGTGGAGCTAGCTATGTCGGCCGTACCCAGAGTTTGCTATCCAAGTGTATCATCGAACACTTACCCTCAAGGTTTTATAAAGTAGAAAAAAAAGGTTTCCCCGAAGCTTTCTTCTGCAACACCTGATCGAATAAGGACACCAAGCAAACCCCAAAAGAAGCTTCAAAGTCATATACAGAGTACGTGAGATCTTGGTAAAATTTTTTAATTTTGATTACAGCTTGATTCCATACTGTATTTTTAGTACAAGTATGGAATTTTCAGCATGTGATATCGGCAGACCTAATTTTGCAGGCCAACCATGGATATCAGGTGTGCGTCAGCAGGGGATCGAAACCCGGACCATGTGCATGGTCAGCGAGAGTCCTAGCCACTGTGCCACCGACGCACAAGTATACTAATCAAGCTTCTCCAAACCCGGTAGAAGTAACGGTGATTCCCGTGTTAAAACCTTAGCTCTGAATACTAAAAGAAATTTGTTCAGTCATTAAATCTACAGTGAACCTGATCTATCCTAACATCAAATACGTAATTTTTGTTTCGTCTTTTTCCTGCTTGTTTGTTTCTTAACTGAATTAATTTCTTCACCCATCCCTTATTACTACTGGTGTTAACTTGACTCTAGTTCAGTTTTAATTTAAGTTGAGCTCTACTCATCCCCGTCGATTAGAGTGCGTCACACAATTTGCCTATTTAATCTTATTTTAGTTTCTAACCAGTTAAAAAAAATTTGTTACTTAAAATTTACATTTCTACTGACATAGTCTTGGAAATATTCCCTTTGTTGCTAAGACAATTTACTATATATACATATTTGATTGTACAGCTTGAGAATGATATCGCCGAAAAGGGTAACTCTTTGCTGAATGCCTTTGTTTTAATTGACTCAATGGGAATACAGAAGTGCAGTTTTGCGATATCAGCACCTATTTACAGTGATCTTAATAAAAAAGTCATCAATTAATTGCTGTACTTCGACAGTAAAAGTGGGGATTTAGGATTGCTTTCAATTATTACATTTTCATCACGAACTGGCATCAGTTAAAGAGAACATTGAAAATCAAAGAACACTAGGCATGTGTTTCGTCCTATTCTGTGGCGTTAAAAGCAGTGCGCACTGGTGAGCCCACCAGAGGTCGAACCTCAGATCTCCCAGTCACAATACCAAGCTCGTTGACCATTCGCCTACCTCGGGTGGAGTTTAATGACATGTGAATTTGAATCTTCCCAATTCGTGATATAGCGCCGCCTTCACGTAACCAAAATCTAATAATAAAAACTATCGAATATTCAGATTTTGAGTTTTGTTAGAGGTTTAGATTAATTGTAATGTCAGTTTTTTCACGAGCCGGCATTGGTTAGACAGAATCATTAAAATCCAAGGAGCACTGAACTTCTCTTTTATTCTAGTAAGGCAATCTTCACCAGTGAGAACTCATGACTCTTCCAGTGTACGAACCGGAGACCTTCTGGTTGTGAGGCTAGCCTGTTGATCATTCACACATTGGCGAAAAGCGGAATCGATGAGTCATTGAATTCAGATACAGTAGAGGAGGAGGTATCATAACTTGGACGTGTTGAGTTTGATTCTTGGTCATGACTGACTGATTGACTGACTGGTTTCACCAGTTGGAGTTGCCACTCTGCATGTAGTACACAAAGCATGAGAAGAGACTGAAGAGAGATTCAAAACAGAAATAATAAACAGAAGTGTGAGTGAGGGAAAAAGAATAGTAATATGGAAGAACTAATAGAGTTTTACTGGCATCTGCTCCAGTCATTGACAACGATTTTGAGCCATATCATCGATGATCTCTAGCCACTGGTTCTTACGATCAGTAGGACCCCAACTAGGAAGACAGATTACGTATCCCTACGTGGCTTAAACTAGCTGTTATAGATTTTATGGGTTGATACCATGTTTCAATTTCACCAACACTAGCTCTTCCAACCTGGTCCATCCTATGTCAACTAACACTGCCCATAGAGAAAGGCGATGGCTAGGCATGTGTTATACATGTCCTAACCATTTCAATTCATGTAGCTTCACAACTTCATTGATTTATTTCCCCTCCTTACCGAACAATCGACGCCCAGCCTCGATATTACTCACCCTAGTAGACCAACTAACATGGGAGCTAGAACTCAGATGCCTATGATCAAAGACAGCTTTGAAGTGAAGTTATGAAAAGAGATCTCTTTACTGGCTTATGTATTCTTTTTCTATCTTGTAAGGATGTACAGTATGAGGAGATAGAGGTGTAAACAATAAATTGCATTCTAAACGTTATCCATTAAGCAACGCTTTTTTCCTTTGCATGATATATATATATATATATATATATATATATATATATATCAAATAAACAAATTAATAAGGATGTTCAATTGTCTAGTATTAATCCCAGTATCTCTTGATTATACATGTACAGCGGTCCAATCGCTAGGGTTAATTTTTCCCGATACTCTAGTGCGCTTTGTTCTTTTCATATTACAAGTGGTTTTAAGAATTAGTTGACATGATTCCCTGTGGTTTATATTTTGGTATATATATGTTTGTAACATTTTGTCTAGCATTCTAATTTACATTAAACACGCTGACATAATACGTAGTCTACTAAAGTTATAACATCACGAAAACTCTCTGTTCGTTATGTTGTTTCCGCAGTGCCTACTTCTTCTTCTTTTTTTCTCCTAATTATCTTGTTTTAAAATTGTTTATTCATCCTAAACATGTAATTATATATATATTTTTTATGTATCTGTGTGTATATATATTTACTATGATTATCATTATTATTACGCTTTCATTTGTTTTTCTGTTTGTGTGTGTGTGCGTGCGCACGCACAATTAAATGGGTATGTTCATCATGATGTTGTGTCGATCGAGGCATGTAATGTTTTTCTTATGAGGGTTGGTTTCCCGGATGGGGATGCTGGATATGACTTGTCCCTACTTTTTTCAGTTACTGAGATTTCATTCTACACTATATATATATATGCTGCATGCCAAGTAATCCACAACGGGAAACTTACGGAAGCCTTCGAAGTGAGAACGGGAGTGCGACAAGGCTGTCTACTATCACCAATGATCTTCCTGATTGCAATCGATTGGATAATGCGACAGACAACGGCAACCAACGAGGGAGCAGGCATAAAATGGACTGACACAAAAGACTTGGAAGATCTGGATTTCGCCGATGATATATGTCTGATTTCCCACAAACTGGAAGATATGCAAGTGAAAAGTAACAAGTTGGCAGAAGAAGCATCAAAGATAGGACTTCAGGTGAACATAGATAAAACAGAGGCGATGAAGATTCGTAGCCAACACCAACAACAACAACAACAGACATCAATCAGCATAAATGGGAGGAACCTGAAAGAAACAGCCTCCTTCACCTACCTGGGAAGCATCGTCTCAACTACATGCGGAGCTGACGAGGATATCAAAGCCAGAATCGGAAAAGCAAGACAAGCTTTCATTACTCTCAAATCTGTGTGGAGGTCAACAGCACTCAGAATCAAAAATAAGATCCGGATTTTCAACTCCAATGTGAAGTCAGTCACTGCTACTATACGGATCAGAGACTTGGCGAGTCATAAAGAGCATCTCAAACAAACTACAGACCTTCATTAACAGCTGTCTTTGCTCAATACCCCTCAGGATCAGATGGCCAGATAGGATCAGCAATAGGGATCCTTGGGAGCGAACCGATCAGGAACCGATTGTGCAACAAATAGGCAGGAAGAAATGGAGATGGAAACCATCAAGTGACATCACTAGACAAGCCCTCGAGTGGAACCCGAAAGGGAGGAGGCGAGTTGGTCGTCCAAAGGTAACTTGGAGGAGGTCATGCGAGGAGGAGATGAAAGCATGTGGACAGACCTGGAGCGGGGTGAAAAAGTTGTCAGAAAACAGAAGGCAATGGAGGTGCGCAGCTGAAGCCCTCTGTTCCTCTAGGAACTAAAGGATACAATAATAATATAATAATATATAGCGTGCGGTGCCTATCTATCCTCTTATTTTCTGCGTAGTTTTATAAATGTATGTATACATCCTACCCTTCCCCCTCTATCTCCACGTTTGATTCATGAAATCTTCCATTTTTGTTACTGTCTTATTATTATTGCTACTACTATAATTTCTGCTTATGTTAGTGTTTTATGGTTTGCTTTCATCTACTCATCTTATTTTATTTTATAAGAAAATATTTTAAGGTGTTTTCCTCATCTTTTTTTAACTTTCATCTCTTCTTAGTAGGTGCACTTATGTACTTTGTAAAACTAGAATTCTGTCACACCTTTTTCTAACAGAATGTCATAATTCTGTCATTCTTCTTCTTTTCATTAAAGTTAGAAGAAGAACTATGAAGATGCTGAGCTAGAGAGAGAATAGTCCTAATTTTAAAGGTGTTTTCAAAAAGTTAGTTTGTAGGGATTTGATTAGCTTCAATTTTGACCATGC